CTCTCATCTTTTTAAGTGGGAGAACTTGCACAATTGGTGGCTGACTAAATACTTTTTTGCCCCACTGTATATCTATGCAAGTGTAAATCAGCATATACTGACTAGTCAAATGAGAACAGAAAAAAGATTCTTACTGAAGACCAAAAATCCCAAATGGTAAGTCATGAACATCCATATTTTAAAGACCTGTCAGAGGCTGAGACTAAAGGTCACAAGGATAAAATACAAGAGTAATACAGGAGTACAAATCCACCTAAGATTGGGGGAAGATTGGGGGGGGAAAAAACCATCTTCCTTTTCCTGAACTCTTTGCACTGCATTGCTCTAAGTAATTTCCTTTTGCTCAACTCCAGTAGCAGACATGACCCAAGCAGGAGAAGTTGTGAGGTAAGGTGGAAGAAGGCTCACTTGTTCTCCTTGTAAAGAGGAGAGCCCCATTTTATATATGAATTGTACAAACCTAAGTATTTGTGTTTCAACCACAAAAAGCAAAAACTTATCTTTTTCACAATGCAAATGGGAAGTGATACTTGGAAACATATACAAGGAGGCCCCTTTGGTTTTCCTAGGATAGTAGAACTCAGAGTATAGGTTTCCACTGTGTATCACCCTCCTGCAATTGTGTTATTGTCTAGGCCAGAAACAGGTATGTGGGTGTCTCATTTCTATTTCACCTGAATGCTTCCAAACTCACCTTCCACCTCCAGCGGGTGCTGCTGAGTTAATGGCCTGTACCATATCTGTGGTGAGAGCATCCAATAAACTGGTAATAAATTCTACCTTTTTCCCTTCTGGGCAGCCTGGAAAAGGAGAACAATTTAATTTTAATAAACAAAAGATAAAACAGGTTCCCCCCCCCCCAATATCTGTTGCCATATTTTGCTTCAGTGCAGTTCAGATGAGAAATCTGCAGTAGGTTGAAATCTCAACTGGTTCCCCATTGTGGCAGGCATTTTCTTCTTCCATGATATACGCACATATCATGGAGCTATACCCAATATGAAGAAGGCAAAGATTGATTTTTCTGAGAAAAATGCTCTTGATTGTTCCAGTGGAATGATAACATGGTTGCACAAATGCATACTGCACATATTTAACACATCGTAGATGTTAATATACATCAAACCCTCCAACAAGAATAAAAAGAAATAACAGCAAAAAAAAAACAGTAAGGGAGGTTTCATAGACACTGTAAATCAATCACATATGATCACTGTTTTAGTTCTGGGATTTATAGATTTCAGTCCATATGGAAATTTTAAATTAACTTTTCCTAACCTCTTAGTAGGGCCCAGAATTCTCAAACATGAATAGTTACGCTGCCCAGTCATTTTCTGTGAGATGGGCAGCCATATAAATTTGATAGACAGGCATTAAATAAAACAGTGACAATCCCATCAGGGTTGGGGGCTGACTGGTTGGGGAAATCTGTTTTAAATTATAATGCAAATATTTGTCTACTTTTCATTAAAATATAATCATAGGGTCCAAACAATGAGGCCTCTAGTGGCAGGAACATACAGCTATACTGGAAATTTCTACAGATTTGAAACGTGGAGTGTCATTAGCACACTGCTAAATTATACAGTGCAGATACTACAGATCAACAGGATGTTACAGTTCTGCCATGATCGTAATACAATAGCAAAGTAATATAAATTAGCAACTGCACATATACTAGAGAAAACCCTGAATAGTTTTCCAACCATAATGAATACCTTCTACATTTTTTTAATTCAATGTTTGTACAAGAATTCCTTGGATGTGTATGAGTCACACCAAATTGATGGGAGACAATTAGAAACAGGGCAATAGAAGAAACTGTTCAAGCACAAATTAATTTGGGGGGGGAATTACCTCCTCCCATTTTTTTGGCATCGTCATCATCATTACTGACCTCAGAAATGTAAAGTGATCATATAAACATAAGATTTAAAATCAAGACAAAACTCTAAAGTCCACTGCCTAGTTATATCTAACCAATAGATAGAACTCTGCCATCCTTGCCACTCTTATTAATCCTCCATTTTTACCTGGAAGTTCTCTGTCTTTGAAAGGATCATCAGTTTCTGGACTTCTGGATCGAGCATCACTTTCACATACAGGGGTCTCATACCTAAAGAATGGAAAGATTAAAAAAACCAGCACATTCTTAAGGCACGTGTGTCAATAATTTTCTTATTGCTCCAACCCTTGTGGAAGTACAAGGGTACGATAGACCAGGGAGTCCAAAGAATTCATTCTTATTTTCTACATTATCCCTTTCAAAAAAATACTACAGTATCACATGATTTTATTCCACGGGTATCTGGGGATGCAAGTTGGGATTTTAAAAGTGTAAAATAAAAGGAGAGGAGAAAAAATCATCAAATCTAGGAGTTGGATTTGGGGGAGACTAAATATAAGTAGTCTCCCTGCAATCCAACTCCTCCCTCTGGGACTTCAGTCTATAGGAATTTCTTCTCATTAACCAGAAGCTGTCAGTCTGACATTTGAGCGCTTGCTGCTGTACTGGGGTGGCCAAGACAGTGAGGGATACTGTTATTGTACTGTCCACCCTGCTACAGAAAGTCTTTCTTCCTGAACTAGCTGGGGCAATCTCTATCATGGCAGAGGACTATCCTAGATTTCATATCTTGGGGAATTTTAATGCCCATGCTGAGGTTGCCATGTCAGAAGTAGCTCAGGATTTCATGCCTGTCATGACGACAATGGACTTGTTCAAACTTGATATCTTGCCTCACACATGCAGAAGAGCACCCAAAGGATTTGGCATTCAGCTGGAGCCTGTGAAATAAAAGTGAAGGATCTTTCTGTAACTCTGTTGTCATACGGAGATCATTCTCTGATCAGTTTTAGATTGCTGGCTGCTACAGACCTCAGAAGAGATGGAAGACCAGATAAAATGATCTGATCAAAATGCCTGATGAATCTGGATATATCCTAAAAGGGCTTGGATGAATGAGAACAAGTTGAAATTTAATCCAGGTATGATGGAGGCACTGTTAATAAGAAGAAAACTACATCTGAAAATGGAAGTGAAGTCTGTTTGAGATAGGGATGCGCTCCCCCAGAAAAAGGACATTCACAGTTCGGGATACTCCTTGAACCCACCTGTCACTGTATTTGCTGGTGGTGGGAGTGGTGAGGAGCATGTTTGCACAATTACAACTAGTGTTACTCTTCTTGAGCCAGTTGGATGGTGATCCACTACTGCAATGCACTTCACATGGGAATATTTTTGATAAATGGCTGGAAATTGCAATTGGTGCAAAATGCAGTAACTAGGCTGCTGATCACTACGAGGTATGAGAATCACATACTGTAATGCCTGTACTGAAATATCTACCCTGGCTGCCAGCTGCCTATCAGACACAATGTAAGGTGGCCCTGAACAGCTTAAGACCTTAATCTGAGGAATCGTCTCTCCCACAAAGAACCTACCAAGTTACTTAGATAAACAGGAGAGGTCCTTCTGAAGATAACAGAATTATTTGGTACATGGAAGAGGAGCTTTTTCTCCGTGACTCCCAGAGTATCAAATGCTCTCCCCAGGTTAGTTCATTCAACTCCACAGTCTCTCAGGAAGAGGCAAATCAAAAATTACCTTTTGCATCAATCATCAGCTGAGTTTAACAATATTAATTTTATTTCAATCTTCATTTTAACTGCATGTATGTTACTGCTATGCTTTATATTTTGCTATACTGTTATAAGAAGCCTTGAGGGATTATAACAAAAATAACAAGAAGACATGTCAATAGATGATTATTTCTCATTATGTATGCAGTGTCAATCTAATTTTTATTTTCGTCATAGACCAGCATAAAATACAATCAAGAAAAATTGTACCCATTTCAATAATAACACCGAAATACATAAGAGATAAAAGATAACTAAAAGCTAGCATTGCTAACACAATACAAGTAGTCCTCAGGTTACAATTGGGACCAGGATTGCCATTGCTAAGCGATGTAGTCATAAAGCGTGACATCATGTGACCACATCGCTTAGTGACACTCCTGGCAGTCCCAGTTGCCACTGTAACCCTAAGATGCATAGGTTAAGTGGGAAGCGGCAGGAGTCCCAGGTAAAGAGCGTGGGGGTGCCGCGGGGAGGCCAGGGGAGGCCTGGTGCAGGCCATGCGTGAATGCAGGGAGACCAGGGGAAGCAGGGTGCCAATGACTACTTGTACAATAATATTAAAACACTAAGCTCTCTCTATAAAAAATCTTAATATTAAGACTATTGGAGGGGGTGCTCTGAAGGCCACAAAAAGAACATAGAGGCAGATAAAGATTAAAAGAATAAAAATAAAAGAGGGATTCTTTTACTATGGGTGCAGTAAATATGTGCCAGAGTATTCCGACAAAAGACCACAGGAAAATACATGGAAGTCAAACTCCATGTACTAATCAGTAATTTGCATATATGGTCATCTAAGCTCAAAAGAATTATATAGGGCTGCAAATCTAATGTTTGTTTCCCAATCAAGGAGAAATTCAAAGAAATCCACAAGTTTAATAAAATATACACAATTGTTTAACGAATGTTATGCTTTAGATTGCCACCTAGCTGGGCTTAAGCAAAACAATTATTTTAAACCACTTATACTGTAATTAAAAAAAAAACTAGCAAATTTCCCCCCATTTTAATTAGTAGTGGCATTAAGCATTTAGACTCACATTTCAGACACTAACAAATGTAATGGTAGATATTTTATATTTTTCATATTTATAGAGGGAAGACATTCCAACATAGGTTGAAAAGGATTACCTATCCCTGATCTAAATACTGTTTAATGACTGCTTCCCCCACCCAAATTCCACCTCCATGCTGCGACTTGGTGTTTCATAAAGATGAAATTGGAAGCAAATTGGTCTTACCGGGTAGAAGTACCAGGCAGGGGGCGGCCTGTGTCTACTAGAACACACCAGCAATAGCCAGTAGACTGATGACACTGCACTGGTTTGTACAGTCCTCCAGGAGCACATTCAGGGATAACGATTCCTTCACGTGGATTTTGCTTGGCTTCCTCAAGTGCACTCTGCCTTTCTTGGTCACACGAATTAATTTTCTCTGGAAAAAAAAAAATCACTCAATTCCCTTTAGGTGGGAAGCTTTCATCTAATCAACTTCCCACCTAAAAAAGAAAAAGTACTGGCTAGTTCATATGTCACATTACTGTAACCATAATGTAGTTAGTCTGGTTTATGACTTAGTGTAACTGGTGAACCAGGCCTATAGCTTATTCAATAAATTACGACTGGCAAAAATCATTGTTTAATGTGAGGTGCCAATCTAGACATCATGTCCTACTCTCCCTTTGGAGTATAACACAGAGTCTGATTGAATGGACAAATTTAAACAACAAGCACACTAACAGTTACTTATACCACTGCAAGTTAAATTTTTGTGTAGGCACATTTCTTAGCATGTGATTAGTCCTTTATAATGTTTCCTAGAGATAGAAGAAAACATACTGATATCCAGAGATTCTATGCATTTACTTCTAAATCCCATGTTGTGCATGACATATGAATTTTTGGAATCTACAGAGACTAAGGAAGATGACCTTGATGGAGATATGCAGGAACTGTTACCTAAACAAAAGGGGCTGAAGCAAGTCTAGAACAATGAGATAACATTTGGAAGTGACTCTGGCAAATGCCTCCCTAATTCACTGAACTATAAGAAGGAGAAGATACAGAACAATCAGACTTGCAAGATTCAGTTTCTATAATCAATCTCAGTAAAAGTAGTTTTAGCCTTCCCATGGAGTTCATTTCCTGGTTTAGCCTACCTGGTGGGGCTGACAGAATCTCACAAGGTTGTCTTCCATGAAAACCTCACTAACAGTGCATTAACCTAGGGTTTTTCCATCATTATTGTCAATCTTCCACAACAGTGAACAACCACAGGGGAATGTTGGCATGTTCAAAACTGCAGTCAGTCAATTCAAAAATTATGGTTGATGCTCCACTGAATTTTTCTGGCAGATAATGTATGAGGTTATTGGCAAAAAAGTTTCTCTGTGAAATTTGCAACTGCTACCCGGGAAGTTACAGTAAAATAATTTACCACAGAAAAATCTAACACAAGAGATGCTTTAAAGTTGAAATATAATGGGGATTCACTTAATCAGGATTGCCAAAAAAGAGCAGGGAGGAGAAATTGGCTTTTAAAAAAAAAAGCAAATAAAGCTGGAAATTTCAGGACTCAGCTGATATGTATGCTGACTTGACTTTATGACAAGAGTTACTTTTTAAAAAATGGCAACTCAATTCTGTATACAAAGAAATCATTCAGTTAGTGCCTTCTGAGTATTCTCACAAATCAATTACACCCCAAGCTGCCAAATTAATCAAGCTTTTTCCTTGATTGCAACTTACACCTTTTCTGTCAAAGTGAGCCCTGCTATTCACTTACTCCAATAGAGAGAAAGCAAGTTGAGTAACCCCTTCAATGGTCTGTTTGGGTTTATATTCATTTGTTTTTTATAATAAGAAATGGAGAAAAAGAAAATGGAAAATCCTCTGATGGAATTAAAAAAAAAACATTCCAGACATACGAGTCTTGGATGCATTGTTTATCTGTGAAAAGGAAGCACCAAAGTTTATTTGTATGAAAAAGAGTGAACACAGGCACCCCCACTTAGACATGGGCAAATATAAAGGTGAAATGCATTTTATATTTTTTATAAAATAAGGCAATGAAGTTTGTTGGGAGAAAAATAAAATGCAGATGGAATAAAATCTGACTAAATATGATCAAACACTGATAAAATCTGACTGAATGCTGGTAAGTGTTCATGGTAAAGCCTATTTTATGGCAGTGGTGAAGACAGGAAGTAAAATATGCTTCCTTTTCTTCTCCATCACCTCTGCAACTTCAGCGATACCCAGTGAAGCTTTTCCAAGTGGTTTGTGGCCTTTTGAGATCTGGCCCTGTTTGGGATGATACAGAACTCTCAGTGGTCAGCTATAATGTATTTACAGTGGCAAATAAGTCACATTTGTCCTGACTTAGATTCTACACTTCCAGCAGTTTAATCTATAGAAGTGTCCAGCCTTATGTGGTCAGATTTCTTTGGAGGAATCTGGGTTTTGAAATCAAGCAAAACCAAATTCAGTTATTGCTAACTTGTGTTTTTCTTCTTGAGAAATATTTAACATGTTATTCTACAGATGACTGAATGATGGACACAGAAAAGGAGGAAGGCAAATGCACTTCAGTCTCAGCTATTAGAAAAAAGACTCCTTCTGTCTGGCACAAACAGATGGAAAGAACACAAGTAACAGCAACTCAAATGAAAGCACTGATGTCAGGATTTGCCTTATATTTTGTTTGTGGAATAAAAGCTGCTTCAGTGACACTCCAAATTCTATTCCAAATGAGTTTTTACAGGGTCTGGCTCACATGGAGGCCAAAGCAGTTTTTTTTGCATTTGATGCAGTTTATATCAGAGATTGTATGTGCTATGTTGGCATTTGCAGCACTTCCTGGAATCACCATGTGGTCATATAAACTCTACTCAGGTTTTGCTTCCTGTTCATACGTATCTTCAGCTATCAGTGCTTCCGAAAAAAATCCCACTAACCCTCAAATGATGCCTGCCAGAGGAAAGTGAAAGCAGATATCATTAGTATGAGATTCTGGGATTCAGAATGCCTGAATGGGACTACAGTCATTCCAGAAATTATAAAGAAACATCCCCATTCCTGAAAGCTCTGCACTATTATGGTCAATGGAGCATTTTTTGTTGTGGGGGAAAAAAAAAAACAAAAAACCCAACTCATCCATTTTCAAAAGTACAATTCCCAATCCCACCCCTAAAAAAATTCACGTAAGGTATTTATTAAAAATCTGGACATAAATTTACCAGACTGCCAAGTGGACAGTCAAACACATTGGATTTATATTATACTTAATCCACAAGTAATCACACCTTTAAGTCACCTCAAGCTGAAAAGGATTTTTCAGATGAAAAGAGCATCTTGCTCCAGATACGCACATGGAACTCTTCTTAGTGCCTATACTTTTCGCAAGCAATTCTTCTTCCATAGAAAAATGTGTTTTCTGCATCTTCTGCTAATAACACTTGTGTGTTTGTGAGCTGTATCACCAAATTAGAAAAGTATGCAGTTCATTTGAAAGGTTGTTTTGGTATATCCATCTAAAATTTCTGATTTCTAACTAGTGTTTTGGTATGAAACAGCCTGCATAAATGAAGCAACATAATGATATCTCTCTGACATATCATTACAAACTTTTTAATTAATTCCCTGGCTTAATTTCAGTCAGGAATAAGCAACACAATCTAATTTCAACCCCAGAAAACAATTAGTTCCAGAAGGATGTCTGCACTGCACTTAGAGAGGGTGAATTTGCTCATCACCACACTGGCCCACAGAGACCTCAACCATACCAGAGACCTGCAGAGGAAACAAAGCTCCTATTTCCATGAGTCCTGTTGAACCTCATTACCCTCCTTGTGACAAGTTGCAGATCCTCAGTTGAATGACACAACCTATAGTGGCTGAGCAATTTGCCTCTTTTCATTTTCTCCTAAACCTAGTAGCAATCACTGAACTCTCCATAAAAAGCTCTGACATTTCATTTTAGCATCTAGTAACACCTTGCTCCTTTCTCTCTTTCCTTCCATCACGTGCCTTACCAACGGTGGGGTGGGGTGGGGGCGGAAATGCTGTTCCAGCTTTCGGCTTGGAGTAATTTGCTTTCTTTCTTTGGAGGAAGGGAAGAAGCTGGATTTTTTGTGAATGATTTATGACATGGTAGCAGAAGCAAATCTCATTTATTTTTCTAGCTGCATAAGGTTTAGCACCTATGATTGTAGACCAATTATTATACAGTGTTATTTCTCCAAGGGTACGTTGTACCCTTTCATAAAATCAGATTAACTACTTCCTATTAGCACACCATTATTTTGTTTCTTAGCTATCTGGAGAGGGTTAAATTCTTCCATTCCTCTTTCCCTTACTTCAACCATACTGTCTAAACAAGTCAGGTTAGAGCTTATCAGCATCAGTGATACAGCACACCACACTTTAATTCCAAATTGGGAATTAGAGTTGCCATCAAAATGTTAAAGGGTGGGTCATAAGTTGTTTTTCTATCATTGCCCATATAAATGCCGCTATTTGCTCCAAAATCTTCATGTACTGTATTCTTTGGAACTGAAAACCATTCAGATTAAATTACTGTATACTGCAATAATTTCTGATGAAATTATATATACAGTAATTACTTTTACACCAAAAGTGCAAACTCTTTCATTCAAGTGTAATACAAACTTGAAAGTTAAACCACTGATATCATTCTGTTATTCTAGCCAAATTGCCCCAAGCTATTGTTCTTGCATCTGAAATATACGTGTGCAACAGTAACCACTAAAAGTTTATGAAGCAATGGATCTATGCACAAAGTAAATAGATGTTAAAAGTTACAGTTATTTCAACTGAAGGAATGGCAACTGAAATGAAACCTAAAGCTGAATGCTAAGCTAAAATTTGAGTAAATAGATGGTTTATATGCAATAGTCTGTTGCCTAAGTAACAAAAATAGAATCTTGTCTGTGAAATTTGGACAAGCCTGTTATCAAAAGTGCCAGTAATCAAAAAAGAGAGTCAGCAGCATTTCTCAAAGCTATTTTGTAAGCAAAACTTGCGTATACAGTACCTATACAGATTTTCTCTACTTATTTTTTTGTGATCTGCAATTTAAAAAGAAATAAAGAAAAACAGTAGGAACAAGAAGTCTCATCTAACACTTAAAAATAAATAGAGAAAGCTCATACTAGAAACCAAATAAAATCAAACGTGCAGTTAAATTCAAGGCTTATGACTTAAAGCCATTCAACAGTTCCTTTTTTTTTTTTTTTTTTTTTAAGGGAGGCATACATTCATTTCTCCTAAAAGTCAGAGTTACTCAGGGGGGTGTTTATCCTGAAAACAATATCCTGAATATGTTTTCCAATATTATAATCTTGCAAATCAGTGGTAATAGAATGGTGACTATGTTAGGAAGAGTCACCTTTAGATGCCCTTAAGCCTCACCCC